GTGGCAGATAATTTCTATTATTTACTGCCTTTGACTGCTGTGTGGATAACACATCATCCAGGGCTTGAAGGGATCACCTCCGGGGTTCAGGTGCACCTCTTCAATCTGCAGGCTCATTCAGCCTCTCACTTTTCTGATGGGACTGCCACCAGTGTTAGCCATAGCTATAAGAAGATGCTCATAACTTTGGTTTAAAAGACCAATTTTTTTTTAAGGGCACATTAAAACTTTGCCATGCACTGAACTCCTCTAGGAGGCAGCTTAATGGGTAAATGCAGCACATACATCTCTTCTTCTCTCTTGCTGACCTAAATGTTTCAGGTCAGCCGCAAGGCGATGGAAGAGGAGCCCTTCCATAAAACGTATTGCCCCACAGGGGTAAGGCAGTGGAAAGCATGTAGCTCCAAGTGGGAGGGTGTGGGAACTAGTTAGGTTGTTAGAGTGAGGTGGTTTTCATCTTGTCCAGTGATTGATCATGTAAAGCAGGAGCCTCTAACTCCTGCCCCATGGGCCATCCCCAGCCAGAGTGATTGCTGTCTGGCTGAGGACTCCCCGAGGGCTGGTGGGGCCTGTCCATTACCAGCTCTCAACCCTTGCCCCGCCCCCTCATCATGCTGCCCTCTCCTCCCACGGCACCCTGTCCCCCCAAGGACGAGGCTTCAGGAATTAGCTGTAGTGGTCGTGCCCCTCCCCACCCCGCACCCTTGTGGTGGCAGGAGCCTTGGGGAAGTAGAATATACTGCTTGACAGGACTCATTCCACTTCCCCACAGCTCATTCCACCCCCCCTATGATCCCCAAAGCCGCATCCTTAGGGACAGGGTGCCAGGACGGGAGAGGGTGGGGCGATGGTGGGAAGGGACAGAGCTTGGGGTCTGGTAATGAACAGGCTCCCCACGTCCCAGGGATTGTTTCTTCTAATCTTTTTCATCCATGTGCAGATTTTTTTCCATCTGTGTGTGGAATAAACTTTGTTACATGCACCCAGGCATGTGTGCATGTGCACCACCAGTAGAAACACAAACCTCGCTGTGGGCGCTCTGCTACTGAGCTGGGCAGCTTGGGAATCTCTGCTAAGTGGCCACACCAGTGCTCAGCTTACAGGGAACACTAGTCCCAGGCCAGATTGTGCAATTGCTCCATCTGGGGATGGGCCAGGAGTTTGAGATGCTTGACTTAGGCTCCAAGTACTGGATTCAGTCACTTACATAAGAATCTCAGCCTTCACTTAAAAAAAAGAAGCAAGTTTTTAGCCACCATTGTTATGGAGAAAAGCTTTAAAAAAGCAAATCTGAAGGGCTCTAACATTAGAAAACAAGTAAAAAAAACCCACCACCTTTCAAAGCTAGTCTTTTTTAGGGGCAGGGGAGGACTGACTTGTGATTTTTGAATATGCGGCGTTGGCAATATTGGTTATTGTGCATGGGATGTGGAGGAAGATCTGTGGTGAGAGAGAGAAGATTTAGCCTGTGGATCACAGCACAATACCCTCCTGTCCATTGGCCTTAGTAATGGTAGGTTAGCTGTATTTGTGGAGTTGTATGGCAGGTGTCTATCCAGCAGTTGTTTTAATTACCACGTCAATTTGATTTGCTCCAATCTCCCCTCGGCTTTGGAAGGATCAGACCCTAGATCCTCATTTTGGATCTCAGGCCTGTGACTAATCATGAGTAATACAACAAATAGAGGACACGCCTCATTTGCATATGTATCTATTCCAGCACGTGGAAACCGGAAGCGTTCAAAGAAATGCCTTGCTGTCAGTTACAGCCCTCTGATCACATCCTAGCTGTGCCGTCTCGTGGCTTCTCCCGACAGTGGGGTTTTCATTCTATCAGTGAAATGTACATAACATCCCAATATTTATTACACCTTGACCAGCTTTTTAAAAATAAGCCCACCTTTGCTTCCCTTTGCCGAGGGAGGTTGTAGAATCTCCATCACTGGAGATATTTCAGAGCAGGTTAGACAGACACCTGTCCAGGATGATGTAGATGGTGCTT